GCCACCCCCACCTCCCGAGTCGACATCTCCCGGGTGGGGCCCAGCACTCCAACAAGCCTTCTGGGGCCCTGAGAAGGACCCCTGCCTTAGGGAAGGAAAGGGGACAAGGTCCCCACGTTGTTCTCAAACATGGTAGGAAATGCTCCAAGAAGCTGATCTTTTCACATCGACTGGAGCTGTGGTTTTAAATAACTTTGTCTGAAGAACATTCTTCAGGGTTCATGTTTAGAAGGGTAACCTGGGTGGCCACATCTGAATTCTTTTTCTTGCCACTGTAAAGCATCCCATGAGGGATTCCATGAAGAAGGCGGGGTGGTTGTCAGTCCCTCATGGCAAGGAAGTTGTCTCTCCTTCCCTGGAGGAGCGGGGCTCTCCACTGCCACGCCCCTGGGAGAAAGGACAGCTGTCATCTACCAAACAGGCGTCTGCCATCTACTTCCAACCTCCAGCAGGAAGCGAGAAGGCCAGGGACAGCCAGGCTCTGGTGTGCGTGTATATGTGTGTGTGTGTGCGTGCGCATGGGGTTTAGGGGTTTAGGAATTCCTGGGTTTAAGACTTCCTGATTCTCCAGGCAAGGCCCCTCCCCGATCCCATAAAGTCATGCCTTCCTGGCTGTGCAGACACAGGGAATATGGCACCCTCCAGTATGCTCCCTGAAGGACAGCCAGGTCTAGCTTTGCCAAAGCAGATGCTCCCTGATGGGAAGAGGAGGGCCATAGAAGGTAGAAGAGAAGGTGCTAAGAGAGAAGCTTGCTGCCACTCCCCACCCTGCATGGACACCATGGCAGATGGAGGCCCCCAGAAACCCAAAGACTCTCTCTGCCTTGGCTGCATAGGAAGGGCAGAGTCAGGTAGCACAGACACCTGAGTCTGAATCCCAACTCTGGTGCTCTCTCGCTGTGTGACCTTGAGCAAGTTCCTCAACCTCTCTGACCCTCAATTTTCCCACCTCAGATTCCTTTGGCGTGAACCCTGCCTAGCTTGCCTCTGGTTGTGACCACTGAGCAAGACCGTGGATACCAAGTGTGTGGTGGGTAGCAGGAGCTGCATAAATGGGGCAGATGCCTGGAACTGTCCAGCAGGGTGCTGATGCTCACAGAAGGCTCTCCCAGCTCTGCTTCTCTGCCTCTGCCACCCAGCCCCATGGCTCCAATTTACAGATGGGTGAACGCTGCAGCACCCCTGACCCCATGGTCTGGGTGCCCTGCCCAGAACCTCCTCTCCTGCCCAAACCTGGAATGCTCCAGGGATGCTTTCATGGGGTGCCCTCTCCCAAATTTCCTGGTTCTCTTCCCAGGGGCTGGAGACAGGATGGGTGCCAAGGGACACCCTCCTCCCAACAAATCCAAGTGTTTTTTCCTCTGGGAGCCGCTGAAGGGGCCTCCTCTCTGGACAAGGCCCCCCAAGGTGGAGTTCAGGTTATTGGGTATAATCAGGTTATTGGTGTGCCTGACTCCACAGCTCATAACAAGAGAGCCATGCTTGACAGTAAGGGGCACGGCAGGCTTTCACAGCCTTTGCACCATACACAGAATCTCAGGTGTGATGGGGTGCTGGCAATAGGACATCCTGTGACCCAAGGTCGTGAGATGAGCTCCTAGGAGACCTGAGGGCAAGAACCAGGAGAGTGGGGGCTGCGGATGGCCAAGGGTGGGATGGTCCTGAGCAGAACTCCTCAGCCTCCATGAAGCATTTCAGAAGCTCCTGGAGGAACCCCTTTAAATGCCGGTTGTAGGCACCCCCTCCTTCCCAGCAGCCTTGGGTTCAAACCCCACACCCTCAGGCAGTAAACCCCTCTAGACTCCAGGTTCCTCCTCTGTAAGGAACAAGAGTAATTGCCGCTTTTCAAGGTTGTTGCAAATATTAATTACATAATAATAAACATTAATCAATAATATTGGGGTATATGAAGTACTTGTCCTATGCCAGGCACTTAGTACAGGGGGATGTCTCTCATTCATTGATTCATTTGCTCCTTTGACAAAGGCCCAGGCACTGTGCAGGGACTGGGGACACAGCGCCGAAGCAAGGGCAAGGCCTGGCCTGTAAACCCACCACCTGAGATGGTCTCCTCCCCTCCCCCACATGCATCTGGGCAGACCTTGCAAGCAGGGCAAGCGCCTCAGCTCCCCACCTCTCCATCCAAAGGAAGACCCAACATTGCTACAATTGAGCCTAACCAGGAATGCCTGAAATTACTGATCCAGAGTAGTTTATAAAACACACTGCAGATCAGAACTCATTATTGGGTATAAAAATCACTTACCAAATTGCAAATAGGTTTTCTTTTAAATGGAAGGATAGAACAGAAGGTATCAGAGTAGTACAGATAAGCAGAGTGAATTTTGCTTCCTGAATTTTCCTTGATCTGCAGTTGGCCTTCGAATAACGAGGCGGTGAGGGGCACCAATGTCCACCCCATGCAGTCAAAAGTCCGTGTATTTTGACTCCCCCAGAACTTAACTACTGATAACATAAACAGTTGAATACATATATAGCCTGTACTCTATTATTACAATAAAAGAAGCTAGAAAAAGAAAATGTTATTAAGAAAAGCATAAGGAAGAGAAAACACATGTATGGTACTATACTGTATTTATGGAAAAAGCCGCGTATAAGTGGACCCATGTTGCTCAAAGGTCAACTGTATATGTCTCTGAGCAGGTTCTGTGCTGTGAGGGAAGTGTATTTCCTACTTTGTGTTGAGTGAAAAACAAGTAGGTGTCAAAAACCTCCACTCTTGGGAGACATGTGGAGAAAGGCACGCACATAGCTCCCTTCATGCCCAGTGGCCAAAAGGTAAAACACAGTTCTGTGGTGGCTGGGGCTCACTGGGCCTCTTCCTGGGGCGGTGTCCCCCTGGCCGGGGAAGGACCCAGGACCTGGGGAGTCGGGTGGCACTAATCACCTGGGGACTCAGGTAGTGACTGCCTCAGGGACCAATTTCAGGACCCTTTCTTTCCTCAGCTCTCTCCAGCGTGGGGAGCAGCCCAAAGAGGATGGGCAGAGCCAGTTTGTTTCTTATGGTTCCTGTTTTACAAATAGAAGTTAAGTGACTTGCTCAAGAACAACCCTGCCCTGGTACCAGGCCTCCAGCTCTTTCTACTGTCTAGAACTGCCTATTTGATTGCTAGCTCATTTTAGTTCCTACCGTTTCCAGAATTCAGGGCAAGATGTTCTTGGAAATGTGGAAGGTATGAATGAATGAATGGATGAATGAATGAATGAACAAATGATGTTCCAGTGGCTGGGCTAATGTTTTCTCCTTGATTCCACAACAGCAGTTCTCAGCCAGTGCCAAATCTGCCCCAGGGAACTTCAGCAAATAGTGCCAAGGTTGAGAACCCCCGTTATTTATACACAGGTGCATAACATTGGCTCCATTTTACAGATGAGAAAACTGAGGCTCAAAGACTTGCTGTAATTTAGCTGAGGTTATACCCAGGGCATGTAGACGAGCACCAGAGCCTGGACAAGACCCAGGTGGACCCACCATTTTGGTGGCCCCTGTGTTTCTGAAAGAGCTGTGTGTCCCCCTTCCAGAGACTGCCCTGCCCTGGCCTGATGGTCAGTATAGCCCCTGGAGTTTGGGTTTGTTCTGTCCACTGAGGCCATCTGCCGAGAGCACCTGGTGGATCCGCTTCTCAAAGCCCAGCGATGCCAGGCCTGATCTCCTTGCTGGTGGAAGGGGGTGTCCAAAAACAGCTCTGGCTGAGTGAGCACATCTGGCCACTGGGAACTCCAAGGAGTGTTCCCCGACAGTGGCCGGCCACCAGAAATGGGCACCCCTGCCCAAGGATCCTTATCAAAGTGAGAATCCAGAGGCTCCCGGAGCCCCCGTACATGGGATGGTCCACTATCTGTATGTCAGACCAACTGCCACAATACTGGGTCAGCAGTTGGGTGTCAGCCACTGAAATCAGCCAGTGCTACAAAGCAGGAACTTTGCCCTGGACAGCCAGTTGTTAAACATTACTCAGCCCCCCGGTCACACAACCAGGGAACAAAACAGGAGCCAGCAGGGTCAAGTTGCTGGGTCTTTGAACTCAGCCCCTCTTTCCACCTCTCTCGTTCCTCCCCTGGCCTCTATATCTTGCTTCTCCCCCATTATCCTGCGACTGGGAGCTCCACTGGGAGTGTGGGGAACTCAGACCAGGCCTGGCCTTCCTTATGCCAGGCTCCCTGACCTCTAGCTGCAGACATGGGTAATGCTCAGAGGCCCCTGAGGAAATGTCCCGTCCAGACACGGCAGACTGGTGACTCAGGAAGGAAATGCGATTCAGACTGAGCTGAGCTCCAGGGAGAAAGCCTCTCTCCTCCCTGGCTATCTCCTGAGGGCAGCAGAATGCCCACAGTAGCTGTGCTCACCTGCTCACAACTGGCTCTGTGAGTCCAACGAGCCTGGCCAAGCTGGTTCCTCCAGCCACATTCCCTGCGATTCCTGGACTCCTACATGTTGCAGGGCTTGGAAACCCCTCGCACATGTGATGCGATTCAGGGAAGATTCAGACACGGGCCAGGCCAGTGCTGCTGTTGGGGCCCCCGGTGCATTCCTGTACACTGTATTCCTGGGGCTGGAGGAAGCCAGGCTTGTCCTCTCCCAGGGCACAAGAGAGTGGGGTCAGTCTGAGAGCCTTTGTTTTTCCAGGTCTAGTTCCTAGGCTGGGGCCATTCAACCAGGCCAGGATGTAGGCCCACCCTCTTCCCCTGCTCACTCCAGACGAGTGGAACCAAAATGGCCAAACCAGATGCACAATGACCCGTGTGCAAATCAAACCTGCATTTTCCATGCATGAGAGACCCTGCCCAATGGAAGCCAATCTGAGGCAATCTGAGGTATATGTGGCCCCGTGTCCGTGGAGATTCACCTGAGTCCCACAAGGCAGAGCCCAGGTCAGGGCTACCACCGCCGTATCCCCAGCTCCAGAACAGGGTGGCACACAGTAGGGCTCGGGGGATAGTTGTCAAGCAAATGATTGCACAAAAGACCTTCAAGTTTGCTTTATGAGAACCCATGTTTTCTTCCAGCACAATGTAATGACCTTGAAATTTCTAATTTCCAAAAGTTAAAAGGACAGAGCAGTCATCGCACTGGGGATAGCCGAGGAGGAATCATCATGGGGCCAGGAAGCAGGGCCCTGGAGAAAAGATTCGCAATCCCAGCTCCAGCACTCCCTAGGACACAGCGAGTAACCCAGGTAGCCTCAGTTCCCTCATCTGTAAGGCGCAGGATGATGGGTTTTAGTGAGGAATGAGTGAACACAGGCACGTGCCCTGCTCCCCCTTCCGAAGGACCCTAACTGAGGAGGTCGATTTTGCCACCCTCGTTCACCTTGTAAAATATACGATGTAGACAAGGGCGTTCTCTCGGAAACTGCCAAGCGGGAGGGCTGTTGGCAATGGCACAGGGAGGTCAAAGAGCTTGGCTCTGGGCAGGGGTCCAGAGCAAGGCACTGGCCTGGTGTGGGGTGGGTGGGGAAGGCTGCCTGTGGGCCGTCTGTGCATTCACAGACTAGAACAAGGCCCGTGAGCACACAGACAGGGGGCTGTCGTGTTCGCTACGCTGAACTGCTCCTCAAGGCATGCCTACCTCAACATCTCAAAAAACCACCCAGAAAGAATACCAAGAAGAATCAATTCCAATTTGTTAGGGCCTTCTGGGTGTGATAAAGCCAACCCTTGTCATCTCCACCAGCTTCCTGCTTCCGCTTTGCTGAGAAGTGAAAACACCATTCAATTAAGGTAATTAAATCCACCCAAAGAGCCAGGGCTCAAAAAAACCACACTACAGGCAAGTGGTCAAACCCAGCAGCAAAGCAAACCCCAGTGGCTTCCTGTGCAAAGACAGGAACCAGAGGAGAAAGAAACGGCCTTCTTAGCAGCTGGAGAGCATCCCTCCCGGCTCTGCAAGGCCCACCCGAACCTGCCTGCCGTCTGCCTTCCCCGACAGGGAGGACCTCTGCTCACCAGCTGAATCAGCACGTCCATTCCTGTGGTTCTCACGAAAACTGGAGCTGAGAAGATCCGTGGGAGGTGATGAGAAACAAAAACCCTCCTCTTCTCCATCCCGGCCCTGGATCCCCCCTTGAACTGCAGCCCACGAGCCCAAGACACGCCCATCTGCACCCGAGCCCAGGGACCAGAGGGTCAAGACTGCTTCCTGGAGGAGGCGCGGAGTGATGGTGAGCCTGAGCTGAATCCCAGCCTCGGTTCTCTTCTTTACAGGCTGTGTGACACCGAACAACGTTCTGCACCTCTCTGTGTCTTTCCTTCTCCACCTAGAAAATGGTGACAGTTCAGGCCCGCTCACCCCACCTCATAGAGATGATGGGAATCAAACACATGTGTCCCGAACTGCAGGGTGACGTGCAGACATGAGTCATCCTGTATTGACTCACTGCGTTGGCCTCCGCCGAGGGTGACCTGCTCTGGGTTCCAAAAGTCGTGAGGACCTCGGGTTGCCAGATAAAAAACAGGATGTCCCGTGAAATTTGAATTTCAGGTAAACAATGAACACGTGTTTTTAACTTAAGTATGTGATGATTAATTTTACGGAGAACTCTGATACAAAGTGTATCCCAACGATTACACGGGACGCGTTCATACTAAGCCGGTTGTTTACCTGGAATTCAAATTCCCTGGGTGTCCTGTATTTTTAATCAGCTCAGTCTGGCAACCCAGCCATGACAAGCTGGCAGTTCCTCCCTCCCTTTCTATGTCCGACTCTAGGAACACACAGGCCTGGGTCCTACGCCCAGCTCTGTCGCTCACCAGCCGTGTGGCAGGGAATATTCGCTTCACCTCTCTGAGGCTCCATGGTCTCATCTCGGAAACGAAGCCGATGGCACACAGCCACCCGGACGATTCTGGTGCTGGAGCTGGGGCCTCCGAGCGGGGCCCCGGTTCTGGGGGCCTGTCACACTTCTTCAGCCACGGGGCTGGGATGAGTAGCGGTATGTAGGGCGTCTGGAGAAGGGCGTGCAGAGGGCGAGGGGTATGAGTCCCCTCCTCCAGCCACTTCCTGTCCACACTGCCTGGGACAGACCAGCAGAAGTCGGGCTGCGTGTCGTCTCAGGCCTGGGCGGGCTCCAGCCAGGAGTCCGGTGGGAGGCGAGGAGACCACGGGGTGGCAGAGCTTTCGGCCCTCCTGCGACCACACCACACACTTGCAGCAAGCCTCAGTCCTCACACCCTTACGAGCCAGGAAGCGCGTTCAGCTGCAGCAGCTGAAAACAGTGCCGAGTGACCACCATGCACCGGCGATCCTCTCAGTCAAAGACGAAGCAGGTCGGGGCTCTCACTCCAAGGAGCTCAAGACCTTGTTGCAAAGATGGATTTACAGCAGATACAGTGGAATAAAGCCGTTAAAAAAAAAACCAAACTCTACAAGGAAGAGGAGAGCTGAGGAGGAAGCAGTCAGCAGTTGGTGGCCGGGGGACACAGACAGACATGGCCGGCAGCGAGGGTAGGACTCCAAGGAGCCAAGCCAAGAGTCACCTGGGCCTACTGCTCCTTCATCAGTGCACCGCAGGCCTGGAGAGAGGCGAGCATGGGGAGAGCCCCAGCTCTGCCACCAAGAGGGCCTTTGGGGTCGCGCAGAGGCATTTGTAAGGGACCAGAAGAGAGGAAACTGTATCTGCAGAAGTCGGCATATTCCAGTGCACGATGGTTCGACAGCATCCTGCAGTGTGGCACAGAAGACAGCACCACACGAGAAAACATTTCAGAAGAGACAGAACCTAGTGATGACTGTGCAGAGGGCATTTCGTTGCACGTCAGGATGAAAAGCTGATTCGTGAGGATGCACACTCAGATGTGGTTTGTCTGATAGGTATTCTGACCCCGAAAGATGACCCTGGCAATAAGGAAAAAACAAAATACATCCTCAAGTGTTAACTCTCCCAGGCTGAAGGCCACAGGGGTGCAGACATGCCCCCAGTTCCCCCACCAAGCAAGTCTTCAAGATGGACGTGTCACCAGCCCCTTTACCCCGCCCCAGCGGCTGAACAGGAAAGTCTAGTCCACCACTTCCTGCCGGGGTACCCCAAACCCCTTGTGCATCCTGATGCTTTGCAGAACCCGCTCTACCCGATGCCAGCTTTCCCAGCATCTGGCATCAGCAGGCGGAGTGTCGGGAGGACCAGGAAACAGAGTGCTGTGGGTGTTCTCCAGGATGGCCTGTACAACACAGGGCAGAGGCCAACATGTCATCTGCTGGCACCCACGATTTAGATAATGTATCAGTTAATGACTATTTGTGATGTGACCGTAAACAACACCCCAGTTAATGTGCTCAACAAATATTTACTGGATGCTGGCCCTCCAGAGGGAATCAAAGTCATCCCCCAACTGGAGCCCTGAGTGCAATTAACAAGACAAATGGGAAAATGGAGAGGTCATGAAGTTGCTTCTTACTTCTCCCGGATTAACCTGAAACTCAATCCTAACTTAAATGGTATATGCCATGGTGCAAATGGACGCCTTCCAGCGTGCCAGCCTGGGAGCCGTCTCTAAGACAGCTCTTCCACCTGTTCCCACCTCTTACCACAGGCAGACTTTACATATTTTAGGGCTGGGAATCAAAAAGTAAATTAAATCCACTTGAATTCAAATTCACTAATTTGAGCTTTGTGATAATTCTGGAATTAATCGAATTATAATTGACTTCCCATGAAATAAGTCCTGCTGAGCCAGTCAGCAGTGTGAATAATATGACAGAGGTAAAATGATTTGCTCACTCATTTACCAGATGTTTCTTGCGCTGTGCGCTATGCTCCCTGAGGGTAGCCTGGAGAGCCAGCCAGACAGGGACACAGCCACAGAGAAGCGCCCAGGTTATCAGTAAAGACAAACATTAAATAATAATCGCCCAGTTAACTACTTAAGTACAATTATATTAACTACTGCAAAGGAGTGGGTACGGCCAGATATGAAAGCGTATAACAGGGAGACTTAAAATAGCCTAAAGAAGCTGCCTTATTGAAGGGTCCTGTGAGCTGGGTTCGGAAGCATACGTAAGAGTTAAGCAGGTAATAGGGAAAAGGTGAAAGTAAATTATTCCAGGGAGAGGGAACAATGTGTGCAAAGGCTCTGAGGCACACTCTGGAAAGCCAAGGGGGGGAAATAGTACAAGAGGAAGATGGAAAGGAAGGCTTTTTGTTAAGGAGGCCGATTTTCACTCTTGAAAACTGGGAAACCATTGAGGGGTTCTAATAAAGAGGCTGACATGAACAGATTTGAGTTTTACGAGCAGTTCCTGAATGCGGTGCTGAGAATGAATGTTGCATAGCCCAAGGGAGTCCCCAAAGCAGTGAGTGGGGCAGATTTGTCAGCCTCTAAAAAGTGTGTTTCAGCAGCAATGACAGTGAGTCCATGAATCCAAGCACAGAGTGATAGTCTCCCTAAATGTTCACAAAATAAACGTCACCACATCCTTCTACATCTACCTCTCGGCCACATGCCACATGGACTGATTTCGTCCTTATCTCTGAGCTGCATCTCGGTGGAGTGGCAGGCAATGAAATGGACCAACTGTCTAGTGACACAAAAGGGTCAATCTGAATTTTTCAGATGGTCTTAATATCCAAGGTCAGCAGTCCTTCTCCATTCCAGTGGAATGTCTCCTTCATTCTTGTTCCTTCTTTTCTATGCCTAGTTTGAGCATTGCTTCCATGTTGACAAGCTCAGTCCACAAAGGCAAGTAATTGATTTACTTTTCTGGGTTTAAAGATTTCTTTTCTGGGTTCAGGGGATTTTCTTTCCAGTTGAGAAGAATATGAAGCTACCATCAATTCCCGGGATATGTGGCTTATGATATGTGACCTGTGACAATACGGCATGAGCTTGAAATAGGGAACCCGGCGTGGTGTGAGGACAAAGGACAGCCTAGGAGTCAGGGATGGGGCCAGACAGATGGTGGTAGACACAAAGCCCTCTGTGAGCCTCCAAAGAAATGTACTCCACAAATCTGAGTTAGTATGATTATTAATATTATTAATAAACTACCACGGACCAGATCAATTATCCAGGAGCTGGGAGGTGTGGAAGGTCTTGAGGAAGCCCCAGTGGTCTGCATTTAAAATTTGCATAATGGATTTATTTTAATTAGCTTACACTTTATTCTGTACACTCTCCGAATTCTCCTGGGCAGCTTTTCGGTTCTTTTAGCTGTCAAAATAGATACTCAAGCCTCCTGCCAACAATAAATCGAACACTGTGCTACAGCTTGCTGAGTGGATTCAAGTTCTGCCACTCCAGTTCTCTTTACTGCAAAACCTGAGTTATGACTCCACATGGGAAAGGGCCTTTGGTCAGATATGACTAGCAAAAAATAATTCACGACTGCGCCAATCGTATTAGAAATCCCAACAGCTTAGTACAGGTTCCTGAAGATTCCTTGGACCAGAGATGAATTAATGAATATTGGAAGGTATAGATACTGGCCCTATATTGTTTTTCACCAAAAATGCCTATGTCTGGAATTTTGTTGAGCTCCAGTGTAGATTAAATATATACTATATATGTGTATTTATATATATATATATACATATATATTACATATTATAATTATAATATATAATAATATATAATACATTTTATATTATAATATCATATAATATTTTATAATATATAATATTTAATCTCAAGTTCAGATTAAATATATACATATACATGTGTATTTATATATATACATATATATTATATTATATATTATGTAATATAATTATAATATATTTAGATATTCTATAATATATTATAGATATAATTATATAATATATAATATAATTATGACATATATAGTATATATATACACATATATATGCATACGTTATATAGACATATATTTTATATATATATATATATGTGTGTGTGTGTGTGTGTCTTTAAATGTCAGTAAGACAGTTCGCTTTCTTTTTTTTTTTTTTTTTTTTTTTAATTTTTTTTTTTTAAAAATTTATTTATTTTTGGGA